CGTATAGGCAGCGAGCAGATTTATGCTCGCCTGTGGAGACTAATGGATCCAATTGGTTTCCAGAATGCTATGTGGGATCTGATGCCTTCCAGTGCCTCATTGGATGAGCTGGCAGAGGACTGGAGTGTCCATCTCTCTGAAGCCATTGATGAGGTTGCCCCATGATGCTCTCTTTGTTCCGCCTGAATATCCGCCTGGTATACGGAAGAACTCAGGGGGATGAAGCGGGCACTGAGACAACTTGAGCAAGACTGGCAGCGAGTTTGCAACGAAGCCACAAGAACATCTTTTAGGATGTTTATGAGGTCCTATAAGGTGGTGGTAAAGGTTGTGATGGACTTCTGCTCAGCCTCCATCACATCTGCAAGCTCACGCCCAGCACAATTGTTTAGGGTAGTTCAGCTATTGATGTCCCTCTCTGGAGGGACCCAGAAGAGTAGTAATTTGGCCATTAGCTGTGAGGCTTTTGCAAGCTTTTTTGCGGACAAAGTCCTGTTGCTCCACTGTGACTTTCCTGCCAGCGTTGACACAGTAAGTGAACTGGATGCCCCTTGGCTGTCTTTGGATTCAGTTTTAGACACCTTCAGCCTGCTGTCCTCTGCTGATGTCGACAGTATCCTGGGTATTGTTCGAACGACCACGTGCCCCCTGGATCCGTGTCCCTCATGGCTGGTGAAAGCTGGCAATGAGAGGATGCGGGGCCCACTGGGGGACATTATCGGTTTGTCCCTAGAAACAGGGGTCTTTCCAGAGGGCCTTAAGGAGACTGTGGTTGTACTGCTCTTTAAAAAAAATCACTGGATCCATATGACCCAGCCAATTACCACCCAAAATTGAAGTTGCCATTTCCTGGGTAAGGTAATTGAGAGAGCAGTAGCTGAGCAGCTCCAAAATTTCCTGGACCCATTCCAGTCCAGCTTCTACCCAGGCCATGGGATGGAGACGGTACTGGTCGCCCTAACAGATGATCTTCGTAGGGAGCTGGATCATGGCGGGTCAGCACTGCTGTTGTTACTTGATCTCATGGCAGCATTCGACACAGTCGATTATGATCTTTTGACCTACCGCTTCACTGACGTGGGGATTCATGGGGTAGCCTTGCAATTACTTTCCTCATTTCTCCATGGTCAGGGACAGAGGGTTGCATTGTGGAGAGAGACATCCTCCAGGTTCCCAGTGTTATGTGGAGTTCCTCGGGGCAGTCCTCTCCTTGATGTTGTTTAACATCTGTATGCACCCCCTCGCCAACTGGCTTGGAGTTTCAGACATGGGTGTCATCAGCATGCAGATGACACTGAGCTATATCTGCTCTTGGATGGCCACCCAGATACCATCCCGCAACATCTGGTCAAGGGTTTGGAGGCTGTAACTGAATGGTTAATGAAGAGCAGGTAGGTTGAGACTGAATCCAGGGAAGATGGCGGTTCTGTGGCTGGGGGGGTAGGGCTTTAGAATTGGGGTTCCAGCTTCCAGCCTTTGATGGGGCACCATTAACATCAGTGCGCTCCATCAGGAGCTTGGGCGCCTCCTTGTCTGTGGAGGCACAGGTCACTAATACTGCCAGATTGCCATTTTACCATCTATGCCAGGCACAGCTGCTGGCCCCTTTCCTGTCGTGCCTCAACCTAGCCACGGTAATCCATTCAACTGTTACCTCCAGGCTGGACTACTGTAACTCGCTCTATGCTGGCCTGCCCTTGAGACTGACCTGGAAGCTCCAGCTTGTCCAGAATGTGGTGGCACAAATTCTGGTGGGAATGCCATGGACAGCACATATACAAACTGTGCTGCGCCAGCTATACTGGTTACCAGTGGTATACTGAGTCAGGTTCGAGGAGGAGGAGGAAGAAGAAGAAGAGGAGGAGATTAGATTTATACCCCGCCCTTCACTACCCAAAGGAGTCTTAGAGTGGCTTACAAACTCCTCTCCCTTCCCCTCCCCACAACAGACACCCTGTGAGGTAGGTGGGGCTGAGAGAGCTCTGACAGAAACTGCTCTTTTTCAAGGACAGCTCTTATCAGAACTAAGGCTTTCCCAAGGTCATCCAGCCAGGTCAAGTGGAGGAGTGGGGAATCAAACCCGGCTCTCCCAGATTAGAGTCCGTGCACTTAACCACTACACCACACTGGCTCTTAGTGTTGACTATCAAGGCCTTGAGCGGTCAGGGACCACGTACCTTTAGGAATGCCTCCTCCAATATGTCCCCAGAAGAACGCTGAGATCAGCTGATAACAGCTTGCTTGTGATCCCCAGCCCTAGGGAGGTCCGTCTGTCCTTGACTAGTGCCAGGTCCTTTTCAGTCCTGGCCCCGACCTGGTGGAACTCTCTGCTGAACAACATCATGGCCCTGCGGGATCTGATGCAATTCTGCAGGGCCTGTAAAGCAGAGATTTTCCACCGGGCTTTTAGTTGAGGGCAGCAGTGGTTAAGACTGGCACCCTCTTTTTCTTCCTATGACCCCCATGTCTCCTTCACTGCTGTGCAGACAGCACTGTAGCCAGCAAAAGGGGTTTATATCACCATCGGGATTGGTTAATTTATTGGTGTATTGTGATAATTTTATCCTGGTTGTATTTTAACTGCTTTGAAGGTTGTAAATCACCCAGAGCCTGCTTGCAGAGTTGGGCTATTTGTAAACTTAATAAAAATGTTAAAATAATTAAAAAATATACACAGCAAGGAGGAAAGAAATACATATCACAGTTTTCCCAGAAAGCTTCCCTTGGCTTAATGGGTACTTGTACCATGTACAATTTGGTTACTGAATGTTTTTCGTTTACACTACAGGACGGAGAAATGTTCCACTTGTCAAAACTGTCTATAGTTGTGCTCGTGGTTTTTGCTTTTGGGGTAGAACAGTTCTTTAGAAACAATAGTTTAATTTTTGTTCTAATAAGGAATCATGGAGGGGGAGTAAGACCAATTCTCTTTAAGCAACTCCTCAGATGGCTAGGAAAAGAGTTTAACGTATTATATGCCCTCTGTTGTAGACAGACATTTAGTGTTTGCAAAGGTGAGATAATTTAGCTTCTAGTGGTACTGGATGCTTTTTATTCTGAATAACTAGCAGTGCAGTCCTAAGCAGAGTTAAACCCTTCTAAGAGTTTGACTTGAATGCATTTAGGAATGTGCAACTCTGCATAGGACTGCACTGTAAGAACTACGGTCGAAGACTAATTCCCCTGGCTTTCTTACTAAATCATGCTGCTGCATCACTTTCATGTCAGTTTGTCTCTGTTTTTGTAAAAACGGTCCCCTCCTTAGGGGTTTCTTGTGTCACTTCTCAGTGCAATGCATAAATTGGTATCTGATGGATTCTGTGTACCCTTTGCTGTAGTTAACCATGTATACATTGCACAGGTTATTGCCCTTATTGTACAAGTTTAATGCTTACCTTGTTTTGCTTATTTTTGTTTTATATACCACTTTTTAACCCAGGCAAGTAACAAGTTTTTGTTCTTCATTTATCCTCATAGGACTTCACGTTTATTCCCTCATATCTCAGGTTAACTGGGTGCTGAGGGATAGCAACTAGGGATGTGCCCTTTTAGAAAAAACAGCAGTTTTGAGGATTAGGATTTTGGGAAGGACATTAATGCTGTTGTTTGGGTTCCCCCAATATCATTTTGGGATTCAATTTTGGGTTCTGGAATTCTTTGAATCTGATTATTCCTGATGGGGGACTTTGGAGGGGGGCAGCAGTAGCTGTTTTTCACCCAAATGTCACCAGCATTGCAGGGGACCCAGTACTGCCTTTTCCACAAAAGACCTGCCAAGTTTCAACCCAAATTGGACTAAGGAGCTCAGTTCTATGGCCCCTTGCACAAGGTGCCTCCTCCCATCCTACTTGTCTCCATGGTTACCTCTGGGGGGGAAATTCCATGCTTTCTCAAAGGTAAAGCCAATAGCCAGACACATAGCAGCAAACAATCACTGGCCTATGCAAACAACACCAACAACCCAAGCAGAACCAGTGTCACAGAAGGTAAGAGGGGAGGGGCCTGGGGCACCCGGGTGCTCATCTCTCTGCACACATGCTGGGTGGGAGGAGGAGACTCATGAGCTTCAGCTGTTCTTCACCACTGGCATTCCTCTTCTCTCACACCCCTGTAAAGGAGAAACACATTGGGAATACAGCATGGATGAGCTTCATTTTAGGTGGTTCTGTGGGTTCTGCTGGTTTTAATTGCCATACTTATCTATGTTCAAGCCGTAGTTCTGATAAGAGCTGTCCTTGAAAAAAGCAGTTTCTGTCAAGAGTTCTCTCAGCCCCACCTACCTCACAGGGTGGCTGTTGTGGGGAGGGGAAGGGAAAGGAGTTTGTAAGCTGCTCTGAGACTCCTTTGGGTAGTGAAGGGTGGGGTATCAATCCAATCTCCTCCTCCTCCTCCTCCTCCTCCTCCTCCTTCTTCTGCTGAGTTACAACAGCTGGAGGAGGGGGCAGCCTGAGCAGCATATGCCAGCACCTGCTTCAGGTACTTCTGTGGGCAGTGCTCCAGCAACACCCTCAGTGAAAAGGGCCTTGCTAGGCCTCTTCATTGCACCACCCCAGCCAACGGAGGGGGTGATAGACAACTGCTGTGGGGCAGGCCTTTGCACTGCTGAAGGGAAAGCCATAGCCCTCCCCCACCCATATGTTCTTCTTCTTAGCGTTTCCCTGAAAGCCATGCCACACTCGCCTCTCATTGTTCATTCTGCCTTTATATACTACTTCACCAACTAACTACTTCACCACTAACCAGCTGCCCTTGACTTTTTCCTCCTCAGAACTAACCAGCAGTTGTCGGGAATTTTTCAAAATCCCACACAACTGTTTTTTGAGGGATGGGGGGGGGGTAAAACTACACCTAGGCTTGCTTCAGCTGAATTCTTTTTTTAAAAAAGTACTGACCTTTTAGCCTAAAAGACTAATTTTTTCTTACTGCAAATCTGAAATGGAAGTATGGAACTCTCAGTTTAGTTTTGTAGCCTACAAGCATAGCCCATTTTTTTCCAGAATATAAGCTACCTAGTCTTTCTTGAACCCTTTAAGAATTTAAGCACAAAGCAGTTAAAATTTTAGAAATTCTAAAACAATCCCAGATACCCCAACAAAACAATGCAAGCCTTTTAAACCAAAACAGCACAAAACAAAATAAATAAAACTATTTTTAAAAGGAACCAGAAAGAAACAAAGGCTCCTCCCGCCAACAACCCACCAGGCAAAAACAAAAAACACAGAAATACAGAAATAGTGGTTTAAATAATGTTTTAACAAAGTGCAGCCAGTCCTGGCACAAAACAAGAAGAGGGTATTTCCAGGCAAGCGGGCAGCAGAATTAATCCAAGGCACAGACAGACCACAGCAGCTGGAGGCATATCAGCAGCACTCCGAAAAAATCTCAGCCAAGGTCAGAAAACTTCAGACTGTGAGAGAATCGTTGTGATTTGGCAGATAGAAGTCCTGCCTGTGTGATCCCACTTGCCTGGGAGAGATGCCCAGAGAAACCTGTCAAATGCCTGATCCTTAAAATGCCCGCCCCAGATATTCCTGAATGTCTTGAATATTTCCAGAAATGGTTGGGACCTGGATACTGGTGTTCCTGAGAATATCATCCCAATACCCAAATATACCCCCCTCAAAATATTAATTAGGTAGCTAGCTACAGAAGTTGACTTGATTTGTGTGCCTATGTGGAGGAGCATTTTTAACGCAAAGATGAATAAGATATAATGTTGGAAAATGCATACCAAGGTTTCTCAATGTTCTTTCCTTACAGGCATGGAGAGGAAATGACCAGGAGGACTGGTTTCCTCATACGTACCAGGATTTAGAAGGTCTGCCTTGTATCGTTGTTTTAACTGGCAAGGATCCACTTGGGGAAACTTTTCCCAGGTATGCTCGAGATGTAACAATATCGGACATTATGTTCTATCCCCCCCTACAACTGAAGCAATAACATTTGGCTTCCCTGTGAACCCTCCCTACTCTCCATATATTGGATGATAGTCTGTCTCTCCCTGTTGCAATGGGACACAGCATGTAGTAGATGACACTGGAATTTGAGGGTAACAGAGAGATTACTTTGTTAACCCCAAATTCCACACGAGCCAGTATCATATGCTATATCCTGTGTCTTGTTGCAGTTTGAGGGTAACAAAGCGATTTGCCCTGACTTGGAAGGTCCAGGCTACCGCAATCTCTTCAGGCTTCGGAAGCTATGCAGAGTTGATCCTGGTTAGTACTTGGATGAAAGACTACTAAGGTCTAGGGTCATTACACAGAAGCAGGCAATGGCAAACCACCTCTGAATGTCTCTTGCGTTGAAAACTCTACCGGGTTGCTATAAGTCAGCTGTGACTTGACACCACTTCCCATCCAAAGATTACTGTGACAGACAGGAGGCTGTCTTGCCCCTAAAGGGAAAAGCTCAGCTGGGCCTATGGGAGTGCTGCTCCAGCACCCAGTCGCCTTTCAGGAGGGGGCTGGAATGTTGGAGAGTTCAGTTCTGCCTCAGGGAGAGAGCAGTGGTAGTTTTTAATCTGCCTCAGCAGAACAGCAGACAGACTGAAGGGTAGCTCTGCTTGGTAGTGTGGCAGAGTGGTTTAACTCTACCTGTGGGAGAGGATAGAGTACCCAGTTGTTAGGCCTGCCTCTAGACATGAGCAGACCTTGTACCATTTAGTTTGACTCTAGGGAAAGGGCAGGCTAGTGTGGGTGGAATCCTGTGCTTGTGAGAGGATCCAACCCAGTGGCTGGTCAATAGAAGCCTGTTTGTGCCTGAAAGCATTAAAGAAAATTCAAAACATACTCTGAAGCCATAACTAGTTTGAATTTATGTGCCTCAGCCAGTGTTCTCCTCTGATTATCTGGAGATCTGTGGTGCTGATCTCTTCTTTGAAAACTACCTGTAAATAAATAAATTTTCTTTGTTATTCATATACAAGTTCTGCCTCAGTGATCTCCATGTTCTACTTGCTCACCACAATATTTAACCTCACATCAGTGAATCCAAAGCCTTTACACTCACTACTGTAAGAACATCTGGTAACTGAGGGAAAGTTTTATGTTTTAAAACAAACCTGATTCCCCCAAAAGCCTGCAGATGGATCCTCTGACCAGCTACAATGCATGTGTAATTAAATATTGTATGTTGTCTTCCCTATCCCCCACGAATATATTGTTAGTCCATTGTCTCTGAGTAACTTTAAATCGCTCTGAGCCCGCATGAGTGGGAAAAAGCGATCAATAAATTGAAAGTATTATTATTATTATTATTATTATTATTACCTTTTCTGTTTCAGGCAAGCCCAGTCCTTGTCCTTTCATACCTTTCTGGAATAGCAGATGAGAAATTGACATTTAAATGGCAAAAATATAAATCCTTTTTGAAACTTCTTTAAATATATATATATATTTATATATTGATTTTCTAGGTCCTTGAAATATTGTGATCTTCGACTGATTGACTCAAGCTATTTAACTCGTACTGCCTTAGAGCAAGAAGTGGGCCTGGCATGCTGCTATGTTTCAAAAGAGGCCATCCGAGGGCCCATTGTGGCTCTTGACCTTAGTGAGAAAGAACAGGAGAAGGCCAGTGTTATTGAGAATGATGCTGATGAGCTGTTAATTGACCTGGAGAGACCTCAGAGTAACAGCAGTGCTGTGACTGGAACTTCAGGTTGGTTTTTCATCTTATCCTCCAGTGCTGCCCCTTTCAGTGAATGCCCCTCTATCCTGGATGTTGGGCTTTAATAGCCATCTGTTAAGCAAGAAGAAATAGAAGGAGGTAATACAGTGTTTGTAGGAAGAGGAAATAATGGAAATGGGGCAGCTTGTCTCAGGAGAAAGAGTTAAGGGGAAGGTGCTGTAGAAGTGAGAGAGAAATTATGTAGGTCCTGTCCAGGGCATTAAAAATGCATAGTCTCAGCTCTGCTACTTGGATTAATTGTTGAAAACAAAAGCTTCAGCTGCAAGCATTGACAATTGTGAGGCCACCGCCTCTTAAAAATTGTAGCAATTAAGTATGACTTAAGGGTTAGGGGAAAAGCTGATTTTGAGGTCGTGTCCATAGGAAAAGGGGGAAGAGTGTAGCAGTTTCTTTGGGGATTGGCCAGTAGCCAGCTTGGTGTCTGCCTAAATCTAGCAAGCCACGTAACTGCTGCTACTGAACAGACAAGGGAAGGCAACTGCAAAGTATTATTAGTACTGGACATCTGCTTCTTCATTAGAACAGCTGGACTCCAAGATCTAACCTTGAATGTAGGAGGGGAGGATTAAATGTCTTTCTAATTGCCATCACAAAAACTACTTATTTTCTGAGCTATCATTTCCTCTAGTTTGTGGCCTAATCCACAATTTTGGTTTGTGGATTGCAACTCAGAGAAAAGGAAGTAGGTGTGGTGGGCAAGGTTCCTTCCCTGCATTTCAGTCTCCTTTGTGTCTCTCAGAAGGCAAGGCTACTGTCCTAGATGGACGCAGGGCCAATGGGGGGGGGGATTTGACCTGGGCCTCAAGCCCAAAGGAAACCTCAAATTTAGACTCATTTTGATTTTTTAATATTTAATAAGTTTTGCAGTTTGTCTCACTCTCGATGCCGGAATTTGTTTTAATTTTTATTATGGCCCGGGTTTCAAAAGCTGGAAATGGCCTGGGCCTCTCTGCACCTATGAGAGGACCTGGATAAAGTCAGGGAAGTAAAGGCTAGTGCCTCTGTCTGCCAAGCCCCACAGAGGGGGACTCCTAGAGTAACCTAGGCCAGGTTTGGCTCAGGGTTTTCTGTATCTGCTTCCTTCCTGAGTAGATTTGGCTGGTGAATTCAAACCAATTTGTGAAATTCATCTACTTTCCTCTCTGGGATTTGCGGTCTCCTTATGAATTCCAGTCCTTGCATTGGGATTTGCAGCCTCTTTATGATTTGCAGTCCTTGAAACATGGTCCTTGCACAACTAGCAAGAATTTCTCCAGATGTGTCTTTTTTCACTCTCACTTCTTTTGCTACAAACAGCAAGGTGCTGTGCCTGGTAGAATTTCCCTTCTGTGCATTTCTTATATATAATGCTCTTAATTCTTTTAATTGTGGTTAGGAGCAGGCTGCAGGTTGGTGTGTTTTAAGTCCTAGTTTCAAACCCTGCTTAACAGCAAAACCTGGTTAGTGTTAACCATGGGTAAGGTTGATGCCAGCTGGTGGGAGGAATAGGATATTGTTAGTGGAATTTGCTGACCACCCTCCATCTTTGACCACCCCTTCAGGTTCTATAGCTGAAAATGGTGTGAGCTCCTCCAGTGCCACAGACAAGTCTCAGAAGCCACCAGCATCCCTTAACTTCCAGAATGTGGTCAACAGCTCAGTCGATGAAGGCTTCACTGCTGGGGAGACCTTGAAGCAAGAATGTGACTCTCTTGGCAACCAGATAGCAAGCAGTACTACTTCTAAATTGTCAGCATCATCCTTCTCCATCAGCCAGACATTCCGGTTGCCTAGCCAGTCTGTGAAAGAGTGCAAGGGCTTGCATGTGGCCTTACCTCGGGTTGTCATCTTATCTAAAGCTGCCTATTGCCTCCTTGGCTCACAGAAAAGTGGGCAGCCGCTTTCTTCCTCTTCTCTCTCGCCTCATGCTGATGTGTCTTGGACGAGCTCTCTGAGGCCCTTGCTGCACAAGGACATGACCAGCGAAGAGCAGTCTTTGTACTACAGGCAGTGGACTGCAGCTCGCCAGCACCATGCAGACTATGGCAATCAGAGCGAAACTGCCAACGGGAGGAGCTTTCACCCACGACGGCTACTTCTGACAGGACCTCCTCAGGTAAAAGAACCATCTTCTTTGGGGGCTGTGGCAGCAGGCTTGGGTCCAAACCTCCCCTTGTGCAAACATTTCCACACGCGTAAAGGTTCCATTTATTGATTTCTCTCATCCCACACTGTTGTCAAAGGTCTTGCTTTTTGTGGTGTATGTGTGCAATGGGAAGCAAGAGACATGAAAGCCAAGTTCATCTTCATTGTCCTGTGCAGTCCCACATGGGTACTGTGTTGGCACAGGCCAGCTGCTGGAAGGTTTCTAGCTAGCATAGCGACAGAGTGGGATGAACCCCTCCCAACTCAAAGCACTTGTGCTGTTTCCCGCCTAATGGCCACATGGTCCAGGGAGGGGCTCCACACACTCCCTCAGTTCTTACTTCGTCACCGCTGAAGAAGAACGCCTTACAACTAGCTCGTGAGTTCTTTACCTCAGTGATTTTCAAACACCATGTCCTTGTTTGAAGAATGCTTCACCAAAATGACTAAAACCAATGACCACAAAGTATGCTTAATTTGCCTTGGTGAGGGTAATCTTGCAGCATAAGAACATAAGAACATAAGAGATGCCAATGTTGGATCAGGCCAAAGGCCCATCCAGTCCAACACTCTGTGTCACACAGTGGCCAGAAATACCAGTGCCATCAGGAGGTCCACCAGTGGGGCCAGGACATTAGAAGCCCTCCCACTGTTGACCCCCCCCAAGCACCAAGATGACAGAGCATCACTTGCCCCAGAGTCCCTATCTATACCTTGTGGCTAATAGCCACTGATGGACCTCTGCTCCATATGCTTATCTAATTCCCTTTTGAAGCCGTCCATGCTTGTAGCCGCCACCACTTCCTGTGGCAGTGAATTCCATGTGTTAATCACTCTTTGGGTGAGGAAGTACTTCCTTTTATCCGTTCTAACCCGACCGCTCTGCAGTTTCATGGAGTGCCCACGAGTTCTTGTATTGGGAGAAAGGGAGAAAAGTACCTCTTTCTCTACCTGCTCTTTCCCATGCATAATCTTATAAACCTCAATCATGTCACCCCTCAGTCGTCGTTTCTCCAAGCTAAAGAGCCCTAAGCGCCTTAACCTTTCCTCATAGGGAAAGTGTTCCAACCCCTTTATCATTCGAGTTGCCCTTTTCTGCACTTTTTCCAAAGCTATAATATCCTTTTTAAGGTGTGGTGACCAGAATTGCACACAGTATTCCAAATGAGGTCGCACCATTGATTTATATAGGTTAGTGCGATTTGGTGCTGATCTGTTTTCAATACCCTTCCTAATAATCCCCAGCATAGCATTTGCCTTCTTTATTGCAGTCACACACTGTCTCGACATTTTCAGTGAGTTGTCTACTACAACATGTTCCATCTGCTAGCGTTGCACCCCCCAAGGCAAGAGCTGATAGGGCTTCTCGATTAAAAGCTGCTCTTTCTGCTTCTAACAACCCGGCAGCTGATTTATCTGCCCAGATGAAGCAAACAGAGGGTTTGGCACCGCAACTGCGCTCTGATTGTGAGTCTAAAGCACCATTAGTTATTTTTGCTCACTCGTTTATGAGATTGGATCTGGCAAGGAAGCGTTTCAAACAATTGGACACCGGCCCAAATCGGTCGGTGTCAGAGCCGCCACCTAAGAAACGTAGGACAAAATCAAAACACATCACATAAATTGGAATTGGCGACAGCGGCAAAGATATCAGAACCGACCCCTTCAGCTTCTAAGACTAGAGAGATGGAACTGTCTATTCAGGTGGCTCCACATACCCCATCACCGCTTGACATCCCCCTGCCGCATTCTCCTTTGGTCTGTGAGCTCCTGCCACTGCAGATGTTGGTACTGATATGTTACGGTTCCAAGGAAGAAGACGACTGGAGATCTATAGTTAGCTCCAGCCTAGCATCCAAACCATCACTTGATGACACTGTGGGTGATTGGGACCCAGTATCTCCAACCAAGGATTTATGGCTTTTTGCAGAGCAGATGATTCATATGGCTCAGTCTCTGGACATCCAGGTTACTTTGACTGAGACCAAACCAGAGGACAAAATCTTTGGTAGACTCTGTCCAGACACACCTGGTGCAGTGGCTTTCCCATTACTGGAGGCGATTTTAAACATGGCAAAAGGAATCTGGAACAAATGGTCTTCCATTCCCGCTACCTCTAGGAGGGTTGAAAACATGTACAGAATACAGCAAGATGTGTGTCCATTCCTTTTCACACATCCAACCCCTTCTTCACTGATTGTAGAAGAAATGCAAGCAAAATATAGAACATGGGTCCATTCCACCCCTGCTGATAAGGAAGGGAGAAAAATAGACATACTGAGCCCATAAGTCTTATGCATCATCATCATTGCTAACTCTCAGGATTTCCAACTACCAGGTCATTATGACAGTTTATCAGTTATTCTCTGGGACAAGGTCACACCATTCTTAGACCAACCAGCAGAAGACCAGAAATCTCTTGCAAAAGTCATTCAGACTGAAGCATTAAAACTGTCTAAACAACAGCTGGAATCAAGTAAACATGCAGGAGATGGTTCTGCGAGGACTATGGCTTCATCAATTGCATTGAGAAGACATGCATGGCTGAGATCTACAGCTCTCCCCCCTGAGACCTGCAGCAGAGTAGAAGACCTACCTTTTGAAGGTATTTTCTGAGAAGATAGATGAGTTCTTGCAACAAATAAAGAAGAACAGACAGACAGCATGCTTGTCTGGGATAACTTCCACATAGCAGCCTCAGTTCAGACAACAGTACCAATAGAGATTCCAGACAACATATCAACCTCCACAATGGCAGTACTCATACCATCACCAGTATCCTTAATCCAGATTGTTCCCACAGCCATCTCAGACCAACCAGCGTCAATCTGCTTCCAGGGCCAAGCGTAGTCACCAGCCCTAGCACACTACCAGAGATCAAGGGCATTCCTCCAATCCCGTTTTCTGAGTAACACTTGAGGATACCTTATCTTCTTTTCATGAAGGCTTGTCCAGATTGTTGCACAAGGTTACTGTTTGGAGTCTATGGAGTTACCTTTGTTACAGGCATCAATTCAGGCAGCTGATAATAATTTTCCAGAACTAGTTACCGAGTTAAAAGTTCTCTTACAAAAAGGGGACGTGCATAGACTGAACTGCGATGATTCACAGTTTGGTTTTTATTCAAGGTTTTTTCTTGTTAATAAAAAAGACGGTGGCTCCCATCCTATTTTAGATTTGAGAAATCTTAATGCTTTCCTTTATTTACGTAATTTCAAGATGATTTCCTTAACATCAGTCACACAATTACTGAACCAAGGTGACTGGTTAGCAGTGTTAGATCTTCAGGATGCTTATTTTTATGTCCAAATGAGGTACAGGAAATACCTGTGTTTTAGAGTACAGGGCATCCCTTATGAATATACAGGCCTTCCCTTTGGTCTAGCAGCAGTTCTATGTGACTTTACTAAATTAATTTTTTTATTTATTGTTATATTAATGCCCCGCCTTTCCAGTCAAGGCCGGCTCAGAGCGACTTACAGAAAGAATAAAAACAACAATAAGTAATTTAAATAATCCTAAAACCATATAAACAATTTCAACATTAAAAGGTGCTAACAGATGGTAATCCTAATAAGTTATTAAAAGACTAACAATTCAAAGTTAAATTTAAGATGGCAGTCAACCTTCATTATACCATCCTAGTGGCTGACCCAGATCTAACATTGTGCGGCTGGCACAGGCTGTTTTGATTACTTCAGGGAACATGGTTCTCCCTTGGGGCAGCTCCTAATTGAAAGCCTGGCGGAAGAGCTCATCATGCAGTCCCTGTGTAACTCCATAAGTTCCCGCAGGGCCCTGATCTCCTCCAGGAGCTCATTCCACCAGATAGGAGCCACCACCAAGAAAGCCCTTGCCCTGGTTATAGCCCGCCTGGCATCCATTGGTCTGGGAAGGGTCAGTTGATGTTGGGACCCTGATCACAGTGCTCTCTGGGGAACATGTGGGGAAAGGCAGTCCCTCAGGTATGTAGGTCCCTGACCATAAAGAGCTTTAAAGGTAAGAACCAGCACCTTGAAGCAAATTCGGTATGCTATCAGTAACCAGAGCTACCGTGTTGGGAGGCCCATTAAAAGCCTGGCTGCAGCTTCTGGATTTGTGACAAGGGCAGCCCCATGTAGAGAGCATTACAGTAGTCAAATCTCGAGGTGACCATCGCATGGATCACTGTTGCCAAGTCATTGCGTTCAAGGAAGGGAATCAGCCAAAGTTGGTAAAAGGCCGACTTGGCAGTGGTTGCTACCTGGGCCTCCATTGTTAAAGAGGCATCCAAGACCACTCCCAAGCTCTTAACCTCCGGCGCTAGCACCAACGGAGCCCCATCGAAGGTCGTTAGTGGGATTCCTACCCTCGGTCCGCCCCAACTCAGGTACAGGACCTCCATCTTCGTCAGATTAAGTTTCAGTCGGCTCAGCCTAAGCCATCCAGCCATGTCTTGTAACACCCAGTCTAGATCTTCTGGTTTGAAGCCAGACCAGCCGCCCAACAGCAGATAGAGCTGGGTGTCATCTGCATACTGGTGACATCCCAGCCCATGTCTCTGTGCAATCTGGGCAAGGGGGCGCATGTAGATGTTAAATAACATTGGGGACAGCACCATCCCTTGAGGCACTCCACAATCCTTTGGGAAAGCTGTTCCCACAGTGCCACCCTCTGTCCCCAACCTTGGAGAAAGGAGGCGAGCCATTGCAAGGCAGGCCCCTGGATTCCAGTGCATGGCAGTGGTGGCGGCCCACTTGAGATCTAAGGGATGTTCAGTTTTTCCTTATGTTGATGACTCTTTACTGCTCACTCAAAGAGGGAGCTACAGAATCAACTTTCAATGGCAATACAAATTTGCCAGGAGCTGGGACTCCACATCAATTGGAAGAAATCCAAGTTTTTCCCTCAACAGCAGATCCCATTTATTGGAGCTATTTTGGATCCCCAGGTTGCAAAGATGCTTTTACCCTCAGACAGTACAATACTCAT